ACAAAAGCCCACACATTATTCATTGAAGATGAATTAAGTCTGTTTTTATCCTTATTTAGACCATTGCCACATCTTCTTTCACCATTTTCAGTATGTAGATACACACAAAATCCATAGTATGTTAGTTAAAGTTTTTTGGTTTTTTTGCTTTTTTAATTGAATCATAGTTGATTATACATATTTTGGGGACTCAATGTTGACGTATGTTGATCAAATCAATATTATTTGCATATACATTATAAATCATACTTATTCTTTATGCCCCTTATCCAATCTCTCCCATCCTCCCCTTCCTCCCCCCTCCCACCTCTGATAACCCTAGATTTCTTCTCTCTTTATGGAAAGAGTAACAGTTACTCTGTTGATTTGTTGCCTAGATGATCTGTCCAGTGCTAAGAGAGGTGTGTTCAGGTCCCCCACTATTATCCTAGAGTAGATGTTTCTTCTATCACTCTATGATAAAGTGTTTTCTTAAATGACAATGGACATTTAAATTAAGCTTCAAAAGTTGGTTTCAATAACACTTCATAGGAAAAAGGTAGTATCTATCAGAGCAGTTAGAAACAATGTAATATTTGTTATGTTTAGCCACTTTTGGGTTTGTGTCAAAAGCTTTATTGAACAAGATTTCCAAAAAAATCTAAAGATGGAAAAATTTCACGTGATTTAACATTCAATCACTTAAGGTGAATCTTTTCTGAGACACTACTAACTTAATTTCACAAAGAGACCACTCCATTTTAATAAAAACTTTCTCCTCCTAGTTTTAACTAAGATAAAAATCCTTAATTTGTAAAAGTGTAACATGCTAAATTGAGAAACATAGCAATGATGTTAATAACAGGGGCTGAAAGTGCCTTGGTTTAAAAAGGTAGTTGGAAGTAATTTTACGATTCCATATCTGAAGAGCACTTCCAGCTCTACAGGAGCCACTGTGTGCCTTGTGCAGTCCCACATGTCTACCCTGTCTCGCAGTGGAGGTGAAAAACATAAAAGACACATCAGCTGTAGAATTTCTGATGACAGGAAGAAGTGTTCATCAGTTTCCCTGTCTTCCAGGGAAGGTAGAAACAATTCTAGGCAAAGGACTCAAGTGTCTAGAATTGAAAGTTGGCAAACACTGCCCTATTCTATAACTATTACCAGGAATATGAGTTTGGTAAGAATACACTTAATTTTATTTAACTGTTCCTGAGTAATGACAACATTGCTCTAAGAACTTCAATCATATGGAACAACAAAAGACCCCGAATAGCCAAAGCAATCCTGAGCAAAAAAAATAAAGCCAGAGGCATAACACTACCTGACTTTAAATTATATGACAAAGCTATTGTAACCAAAAAAGCATGGTGCTGGCATAAAAACAGACACTTGGGCCAATG